CTTGATTTTGAACTTTAGAGTATATCGAATCCACAAAATAAAGGGTAATATGAAATTATAATTTTTTATTATGATAAAATCATATTTTTTAACGATTATATTAATAGATATCAACAAAAAGTGGTTATGTTTACACATGTACAAACGTCATGAGATGTAGGGGTAATATTCTAAATGTGAAGGGGTTCAAATGATTAAGTGACAAACATGAGGGGATCTAGGTATAATTTATCAATTTAGTTTGAGGGTGCAAATTGAGATTTTTAATCTTTGAGGGTGTACATTGATATAAATTTCTATCTTTGAGGGTGCAAATTGAAATTTTTGATCTTTTGGGGTGTACATTGATACAATTTTCTATTTTTGAGGGTGCAAATTGAAATTTTTAATCTTTGAGGGTGTAAATTGAGATTTGAACGATTTTTCGGGATGCAAAATGAGATTAACCCATAATAATATAACATGTTAGCGGTCACACGTTCTATCATCAATCAATAATAATATAACATGTAGGATAAGTGAATTCCAGAATATCAACATATTAATTATTTAATATAGTGATTATTTAAAATTATTTAAANGGGGTGTAAATTGAGATTCGAACGATCTTTCGGGGTGCAAAATGAGATTAACCCTTTTTTTTTCCTCGAAAGAAACTTTTTGGGTTGGTTAGCCAAGAGACATGATTGTGTAGTCTTGATTAATGCTTCTTTTGTTCATGAACATTTTCAGAACAGAAGGGGAATTATCATCTCAACCATCGTCTTGCCTAATTGGTCAACAATGACACCAATTTGGCAGTATTAAAGAATCCACTGAAGTCAGATCATTTATTAATTCAGGCTTTCATTTGGTGTTAAAAAAAATACAGTTTAGTCCTCATTAATAAGGTCTATGAGGAATAGGTATACCCTTTAGCATTATTTGCACAAAGTGATTGCTCTCAAGTTTGAACCACAACCTCAACTTATTTAGCCAAATTTAACCACGGCACCAATGGCCTCGCTAGTTCAAGTCCTACCACTCATACAAAGGTGGAAACAAAACGCCAATAAGTCTTGACTGAAAGAGAAATCTTTCACCATGAAGTTCTCTTATTTTGAACTGAACTTAGAATAAACTTGATCAATATCACATGCATCCTATTTAATTTAACATTTCAGATCATTATATTCCAAGTATGTTTTATACCAAGATCATACTCACTCCCCACCAAAACCATCCAGGTGTGTTCATAGTAATTAATAGCTTATACCCAACACTAGATATTGCAATCCTGACACTAGGCCCGCCATGTGATACTTGATTGTCACGCTTCTACTTCACAAAGGCACAAAAACTGACCCTTCTATTCTAAACCATTCATAGTATTACGTGTTTGACTGACACCGCCTGTAAATAGCCTCCGCCTTTCACTAGAGGCAAAATTCTCATCAGGTGGAAATCAGTAGCAAACGAAAAGAAAAATTCACTTAATTTTAGCAACTAGGTTTTGTTTTTCCTTTCCCAAACTTAACCTCCTGTATTTATTAACAGGATCTAGATGTTGCATTCCGGCACAAACGAGAATGCCTGTTCCAAATATAAGAGGCAATCACTAATCATTCCAAACCATGGTCTTAAAATAGTATTTCATCAAAAAAAAATCATCTGGGTAAAGCATATCAATTCTTTTCCCTTTGGGATAATTGTAAATACATCTCCCTATTTGTCTTCAAAAAAGGTTTTGGTTGCTGCACTCAATATAAAATTATCAAACTGTGCATCTCTCATTGTCTATCTCCTGCAACTTCTTGGTCAGTACTCTCTTTTTTAATACCTCAATTTTAATACCTCTCAAAGTCGTTTTATATAGAACAAGTAGTCCAGAACACAGACTTATTGGAGAAACATATTTATAACTATGAAGTTAGAAAATTAATTGCTTGCTAAAAGGGCATGCCTTACGGAAAATTTTCACAGCTGTTAAATTATGTAAAACCCAATAAAGAAAACCAATATTATAAATTCAACATGGTATAATATCCAGAGAGAGAGAGAGAGATCACATCAATATAGATTTGCAGTATCACCTAAAATATTTGTTGATTAAACCCTATGCAAGCAGAAAAAAAATTCAAACTTAAAAAAAAAGAAGGGTTTTAAAGACAGATTAAGAAAAAAGACATACTGAGCTCGGAGAAGAAGAGCAAGAGCATAACGATGGAGGAGACGAGGGTGATAACACCACCAGACAGTGTACGGCTAAAGAAATCTTCATTGATTTTTGGGTATGCGTCCAAATTCCTCAGCTTATTGAATACTTTGTCCATCCCCACCAATCCGCAACCAAAACCACCAAATCAACCCACCAATTTATCTGTATTCCTGCATATACACATAAATGAAAGAAGAAGAAGAAAAAACCCTCTCTTTCTCTCTCTTTATATATCGGTTTCTCTCTCTAGAACTGTGTAGAATCCCTTGCAGAACACAGCCGGCGGGCGGAGAACAAAGTATTGTTTGACCTGTGAACTGGGTTTTCTTTGAGAGAAGTTAACTGCGGTTTTGGATTCTGGCTTGTGTTTGGTTTGGACAGTAGGACCTGAACATTACCTCGGTGAATTAGCAGTCAAACGGTCAACACGTTCAGAAAATCAATTATTATGAAAAAGGTTTTTTGGATTTTCTATCACCATCTGCACCGGGGAGAATCTTTATTAATGGAAATTTGGAAAGAGTATTTGGACGGATTCTCTAAGGAACTTGAACGAGATCTGCTCTAATATATATTTTTTATAATTATTTATTATATATTAGTGAGGAGTTAATTTATATATAATAAAAAATTGTGTTTATGATGGGTGATTTATCAAGATAAAAAAAAAAAAGTATTGAAGAAGATTCGACTTTAAGTTAAATGAGAATGTGTGTCGCCATGGGTCAATCGGGATGAATTGAGATATTTTTTGTTATGTTTTTTTTTAATTTCAATTAATAAGTTAATCTTACATCATAAATTTAAGTGAAATTTACTATTTATAAGTGGGGTCCTTCAATTATACANATTAATTAATTAGAATTTTTTATAAGATAGTAAATTTATTATTTACAATAAAATAAAATTTATCTGTTAGAAAGCTTGGTTTATCATAGACTCCGGGCTATGAAGCACAGATACTTCAAAAGGGTCAAAGTATCCGTATCGGATACTTTTGAATACGGATACGCGTCGGATACGTCTGAGAAGTATCCTAAAATTTAAAAAAAAAATTGATTTTCGGATACGACCGGATACGTTTTGGATACGCGTGGGATACACCTAAGATACGCATAAGGATACGGCGGGGTATTACTTGAATTTTAAAAAAGTATACGGACACAAGAGCAATATATTTAGGCCCTTATTTGCAAAAAAAAAATATATTATTAAACTAAAAGTTAAAAAGACTAAAACCTGTACACTTTTCTTCCACAGCCCGTCAAGCCCCCCACTCCCTTCAGTCGATACTTGACGACGATCGTCTCTTTCTCTCTCCCTCACTCACACTGACGATTGACTGATTCTAATGGTTAGTTATTATTATATATCTTTGATAGAAGTGTGATTTACTTTATAAATCATAATTATTACATTAAATATAATAATAAAATTTTAAAAAATATATATTTTATGGACNCACTCACTCACACTGACGATCGACTGATTCTAATGGTTAGTTATTATTATATATCTTTGATAGAAGTGTGATTTACTTTATAAATCATAATTATTACATTAAATATAATAATAAAATTTTAAAAAATATATATTTTATGGACGTATCCTAACCGTACCCGTATCCTATTTTTTTTTTTTTTTGTCGTATTCCCGTACCCATATTGTATCGTATCCGTATCCCATATCTGTATCCGTGCTTCATAGACTCCGGGCATGGTGAATGTTTGTCATCTACAAGTAAATTCTTATATTTATTNCCCGTATCCTTTTTTTTTTTTTTGCCGTATTCCCGTACTCATATCGTATCGTATCCGTATCCCATATCTGTATCCGTGCTTTATAGACTCCGGGCATGGTGAATGTTTGTCATCTACAAGTAAATTCTTATATTTATTCAGATAATTCATTAATTATAATTTTTGATGTTTTCATATTATCATTACTAAATGTTTCGATTGAGATCACTCCTCAGTTGATTCTCAATTAAATTCAAAAACTGGATCATTAATAATTATAATATAGATTTGAAAGAATATTTTCGATATTTTAGTATTTTCGATCATTATTTTAAAAACTAAATTTATTGTTTTCTAAATTTCAAAATATCTACAACAATATTTTTTAAAATAATTTTCTTTTAATTTTCTTTGTGTTCTAAGTTTTTCTCAATTCCATATGATTTGACCTTAGATTTTTGAATATTATATTATTTTGCATGACCTGCATCTATATTTGGGTGATCAATTCTAAAATTATAGCAGGTCTCCCACTAGTATTGTTATTTATGTGATTCAAATTCTCCAAGACCGTCGATCATCGTAGTCAATTTTGTCGACGGGTTTATAAATATAATATTTTCTTGAGCGACGGTGTTTTGGCCTGCTCGTTGTTGTTGTTGACGGTGGTCTTGTGATGGAGCAGCGGTGGCGAAGCCTAAAATCAAAGGGGCAAGTATGATTCGTGTTCTGCACGCTTCTTGAGAGGGCGGTATAGACTCGAAAGATATCTTTAGTTCTTATTCTGATGGAGCGGAGGACGTAGCTTCTTGATTATTACCTACTTATAGAAAGAATGAAGAACAAGATTGAAATTAAAATTACAATTGAAATTGAAATAGCTTCTCGATTATGATCGATTGAGAGTGGGAACGAACAAGAAGATAGAAATTTCAGAACGGAATAAAAAGAAGTTGAATAATGGTAAGGAGAGGTATATATATGGAACGAGGGGGTACAAGGAAGACCGTGGGAAAGCTTTGGAAAAATCTGGAATTATTTCTGGGGAACTTACGGGTCCCAGAATATTCATATTGGAGTTAGTGACGGACGTTCGCCGTAGAATCCTTATAGCAATGTTATTGGAAATTTTTTTACTAATCTAATTTGTTGACCTAATTTACTATAACCTTTAAATTGACTGTACACCTATTAAATATTAAAACTTAGTGTTGCTCCAATAATTTTACTAAAATTACATTATTATGTCAAATTTTTAAATTTAAATAGCATTACTCTGTCAGTTAATAAGGGCTGAGCTCTTTTTTTTTTGGGTCTGGTTGGGCTAAGCTTGACAACCGGCACTTAGTTGTTAGTGTTGTATTTATTGGAGTGACTGACGTGTAAATAAAGTGTGTGTTGTCTTAGCCTTAGCCTTAGTCAGCTGATGGTAGCATTTGTGAGAAGTCGGTAGATTATAAATGATAGTTCAATATCTAAAATATTTTGGTATTTTCAATTTATACTCTAAAAAATTATAATTCTTATACAGTATGCACGATTAAATAAAAGATAATAATATTTCAATTTAAGAAAATTGAGTACATTGAGTATTATGTACATAATTGTGTATATAATTAAGATAATATAAAAAATACAACCAAAAAAATTGTTGGGAAACGGCACAACACAGGGTCTCTTTGAAACAAATTGAAAATTTCAATTTTTTTTTGGTTTTAAAGGAAAATATGCTTGGTTTATTTGGATCCAAGCTTTTTGGACAACTTTTCCATCAACTTAAAATAACTTTTATTAGCACAAAATAAAAATTTTAAAAATGAATTTATTCAAGGGCTTCCAAGAAAAAAAACTAACATTTTTTAGAAACATACCAAACTGTTCCAAAAAAAACAGCTCCAAACAGGCGCATTGTCATGGGATAAAAAAGCACCCGGGAAGGATGCACTGCCTACCCTGAGAAGGAAGGGAATGCAAAAGCAGTGAAAATATTTACCCAGCAAACTAATGCAATTGCCATTCTTGAAAGAACCTCTACTCATTAGAATAACTTCAGCATGGATAAACCTCAAAAATATCAAACATAAGCAGATACAACTTTCCAGAAAATAAATTATACATGTTTAGCACAGAATTCACCACTGGTACTTGGCAGCAACAAGGACTTCTTCATATTTCTGAGCAGCATTGTCCCAACTGAGGTCTTGCATCATCCCCCGTCTCTGGATCCCTCCCCAGCTCTCCTTGTACTGCCGGTAAGTCAATAAGCAGTTCCCCAATGCATTGATCAGCAGGTTTGCCTCGGCCCTATCAAATGTCCACCCAAGTCCCGTCTCATTAAAAGGATCAAAAGGTTGCACAGTGTCTCTCAGCCCTCCCACACCATGTACAACGGGAATAGTTCCATAGCGCATGGCATATAGCTGGTTCAGTCCACAAGGCTCAAATCTTGATGGCATCAGCAATATGTCCGCACCAGCAGTTATCCGGTGAGCTGTCTTTACCGAAAAACCAACCCATCCTCTAATTTTGTCGTGGTGTTGACTTTCAAAATGCCTGAGCATATCCTCAAGGTCAGGCCTTCCTGTGCCCAACATGACCAGTTGCACATCCTGACCCATCATCCAAGGAACCGCCTCAGCTATCAGATCAACACCTTTCTGGGGATCCAATCTCCCTATGAATCCAATCAATGGGATGTCACCACGAATGGGCAAACCAAGCTCCTTCTGTAATGCTTCCTTGCACTGTTGCTTGCCAGTCTGAAGGGTCTCCAGGGAGTAGTTAGTGTAACCATCAGATTTCAGGTATACATCCAACTCTGGGCTCCAATCTTTTGTATCAATTCCATTCACTATCCCCTTCAGTTTCCAGTCGTTCTCATTGATTATCCCATGCAGACCCCAACCACCTTTAGAAGTTTTCAGCTCCCAGGCATATCCATGACTCACTGTAACAACACGATCTGCAGACTTCAGACCTGCTGCAAATATATTGAGATGCTCCCCCCCTACTGGGTCATACATTCTAAAAAAAGTCCCAAGTATTGTGGAGGAAGATCGATATAGAAAAAATCAAACAATGGACCACGACCCTGGATGCAGCGTACAAATGCAACCATAGAAATAAGAAACAATAGTTCAGGATACTAGAAAATAGAAACAGCTGATTTACAATTTTTGAAATTTTGCTCAAACAACTAGATATCAAATCTATATGTAGACCTTGTGATCATGACAGATGAACAAGTAAAATTAATTTCTCACTTTACATTAATAAGTACTCATGGCTCCAAGTTTTGCAATGTGTCGGCGTCGTCGTTTATTTGGGACAAACAATCCCAAAATGCAAGACAGTAAATGGATAGATTCAAAGTTCATTGAGTTCCCAAAAACATCATCACATCAAGAAAATTTTTATTAATATGAAAATCTGCTTTCAAGTTTAAAACTCATCAATCAGCTGCCCAAGGAAACATCTGGAGATGATTATAAGGTTGGGGATATGGTAATCAGCGGAAATCACAAATGAGGTTGGCATGTGCACTGCATATAAGCTTGTCTGCCTGTGCAGTCAAAATATTGTGGTCTTTCGGTAATTAAGTGGAATTAAAAACGGATGATAAGCACATGGCATGATGGTAATGTGCAAGAGTCTGTCAGCTTAGGAAAAAAGATATAAACAATTACAATGAGCTTGGCATGCCAAGTACATAAAATGAAAAAAAAAACATAAAATGTCGGGGGTTTTGACAGAATGAATGTATTGTATTTTGACGGAGTATATAGTAAAACAGTAAGCAACTGTGTGTCCCTGAGTGCGGACGTTGACGCTAACTTTCATTTCATACCTACAACTCTCATCAGCCAAAAAGGTCAAGAGATCATCTACTACAAATCTATAGATAATTTTATGCTAAATTCTCGGTACAGATTTATGCTATGGATGATGTTAACAGAAAATTAAAAGTAACAAGAAAAGTTTACAATGCTTATAGAGCTAACCTGGTGAGCTATGTTGTGAATTACAAGGACAGACCTCGTGTATTTCATCAATCCATTACCCCGATAATATGCCTTTAGATATACCGGCAACAATGCAGTATGCCAATCATTTGCAATGAAAACCAAATTTCCATCTCCATAGCAGGCCCCACCACATGGGACATGCCAAGGGACCTGAAAGTCAAGATTCTCCATATTATATATAGCACTTGGGCAGATCAAAACATTGAACAAGAAAATGAGCAAGGATTAGATTTTGAATTAGAGTACTGCTTAATGTCATTGCATTTTTGTATCCCCTTTCTTTCATGATTTCTCTCTTCCTTCTGTTTGTTTTTTCCCCTAATTTTGGGTGATTTTGTGGGTTTTTTTTGGGGCATAAGCTCATTCACTTTCATGATGTAGCTTATTATCCATTTTGCTCATTTTTGACATGTCAGTAGCAATATAAGCACCTGAGAGTATGACAGCTTTTGCCTGCACCTCTACTCCTGAACAAGATGGTAGTGACTTAGAAAGCATTAGAATCCCAAGAATCCACAACAGGAGGCCACACTGTGGCTGGCCAAAACTGAGCAACAAGAAGTCTCTCATTGAAATGTTTAGAATTATGATACAAACATTCTATGAAAATTTGGGGCCTGTTTGGTTTGCATCTCAAAAAAACAGTATCTGAAAACTATTTTTGAGAAGATTTTTAAAAAAGTGTTTTTAAAATTTTTAGATTACAAAACCATTTTGATTATATATTTTTGAAAATAGTTTTAAAAAACAAAAATTATAAAATTTGTTTGGACAATAATCCACAATTCTCACATCTCTTCAACTCTTTGTCTCTGTTTCTTTCACTGTGCATCAAGACCACCACTCTCTGTCTTTCTCTTTCACTGTGCATCAATACCACCATCCAAACCGAGAACCACCCAACACCCACAACCACCACAAACCCACAACCACAACCACCACCAACCTATAACCCACAACCACCACCAACCCACACCGAGAACCACCCAACACCCACCACCAAGACCACCACCCAACACCCACAACCACCACCACCACCAACCCACAACCACCCAACACCCACAACTACCACCAAAGGATCTGTGCTTTCAATCGCCGGATCTGTAATTCCAGTCACCAAATCTATGGGTTGAAGACAAATCTATGGTGTAGGCAAGAGAGAGAGAGGGGTCAGGGAAAAAGAATGCAAAAAAAAAAAAAATGTTTTTATAGTGGTACAATAAGTGCATAGTAAATGGGGTTCCTGTGTTTTCCGTGTTTTCACAATTTCCAAATAAAATCCAGAAAACAAGCCTGATTTTGAAAATTTTGAGAACAAAAATGTTAAACAAACAAATTTTAGGTGTTTTTAAAATTTTGAAAACAAAAAAGTGTTTTGCAAATGCTAACCAAACACGGCCTTGAGTTCTTTTGATTCTAGCCTTCTTTCCCTCTTTGGATATTGTTCCCCTTTTAAGAGCTTTAAAATTGGTTTTGAGTTTAAGACTGGTAACAGCAGATTAGACTTCTCTGAGTCAATCTTTGGTAATTCTCCATAGTTGCACAAGCCAAAATTAATTATTCGTTCCATGCATCAATTCTAGGATTGATGGGTCATAAACAACAAGTGACAGTAAATTTTCTGAACTACGTTCTTTAGAGCCTGATCTTATATTATACCTCAACAGCCGCTTTGCACAATAAAACCATTCGCTTCAAAACATCCTGCATCAGCGAGCAACAAAAGACGATAATAAACTAGAAGTTCCACAACAAAAATCATAAAAGTTCAATGCAAATTAAAGAACATAATACAGGAAACACGAAATTAGATAACGTAACCCGGCTCACAAACAGCATCAACATGTGGCACATCTGGTAGCAGACATCTATAAAAACTAGTAATCTGATCACACACTTCAAAGTTTTGTAGACGAATTGCATAAGAAATAGGGTGCAGTTAATTACACCTACTATCCTAATCACAAAAATTCTTAGTGGGAAGCAGCAAATGATTGTATATTGATATTCTATAAAGCCATGACATATAAGAAGTTATCTCAAATGATTATTTAGTATGAGATCATTAATCAGACGCTGATTATCTCTCAGAGACTCAAGCTAACTACCTGAGTGAACTTTATCTTATCACACGATTTCCTCCATATATATTATTTTTTCAATGCCGAAACTCAGGACTTTCCACAAAAACAAAATTTACACCATCAATATAGGCTTGGTAGTAAACCACCTCCATATCCTGCAGAGTTGCACATTGTCACAAACTTGAAATGTTTAATGTTTAATGGTTAATGATATCATAATACAGTAGGAAGTTAGTAGCATTTTAGTGTTGCTGATGCATACCTGCCCAGCAACCCTATACCTTTTCCTAACTCCAGTATCTTGAGGTTCAGCATAATTACCATAACGTGGTGCCACAACCTGGTTTCCAAACATTAAAACCACTTAAATTAACCCCAATAGACCACAAATTTATTGATATTGGTTGGTGTCAGATATGCTACTGCAAGTACATCTGAGATGTTAGTACCATATTCCAACCAATTAAAATTCTTCAAGNCCACAAATTTATTGATATTGGTTGATGTCAGATATGCTACTGCAAGTACATCTGAGATGTTAGTACCATATTCCAACCAATTAAAATTCTTCAAGTCATTCAACCTTTTCTTTTTCTTTTTCAGAAGTCATTATGCTTTTATCAAGCAGACAAATGCAAAGTACCATTAACTACAAGATGACAATAGTATGGCTGACATGATTGACGATGATTAAATGAGCTAAAAAGTAGTAAAGTGCAGCCTAACCTAATCCCCTAAAAAAAAATTTCCACAACATAGGTTCCACTTGTTTGCAACAATTTTCTAAAAACAACTTATTTTAGCACACCACCAAGTTATAAATAGATGAAAATACTAAACTTACCATAACCCTATGACCACGCCGAGCCAAAGCCCTTGGTAAAGCCCCAGCAACATCTCCAAGCCCACCTAAGAGAACTCTTCGTAAATTAGTGTGAGAGTCGCATACANCCTTGGTAAAGCCCCAGCAACATCTCCAAGCCCACCTAAGAGAACTCTTCGTAAATTAGTGTGAGAGTCGCATACAACAATAATGCACACATATGAATAGAGGCATACATTAATACTTCCCTTAGCATATATGCATACAAATACCACTCACTATATTTATGAAGCTTTGATAAGTAAGACTCGTTAATTTGATATAACGGCAAAAGGCCATGCATAACTTTATCTTAAGAAACTCAATTTTCTACTTCTACCTTTTTTTGCACATATTTTGCTTAACTGGTGTCTTGGCCTAATGATAAAGTGGGGGACTGCTTAGAAGCAGATGCCAAGGTTTCAATCATATACCCCTGAACAACAAAAATTTTTTTACTGCCAAAATATTAATGAACATGCCAAATATGGAGGTTATCAGACCCATCCAGTCGGACAACTGTACATGCACGCACTTTCAGCCCACCACTCCAGAGTGATTTTAGACTTCTATTTTAATGTTTGTGAACCGTAGCAACAATATTACAAAGCAGGAATTAAAAACTGCTATCCACATAATGATAAAACAGAAAGAATGGATTTTGTAATGAGAAACTGGTACTGCAACAAAAAGAACATCCCAAATATTGTTTTCCCACCTCAGTACAGTAATTTATTGTAACATACCTGTTTTAGACCAAGGAGCACATTCTGCAGCAACCAATATAACATTCATAACATTGGGCCCGGCCAAAGGAGGGGATTTCACATCGTCATCGGCAGGATCATTTGCCTCACCAGTCACCTCTTGTAAACTCGATTCTTTAAAATCTTCTTTTTGTTCATCTTTTATAATGGATGTTGCAGAGAAACTTGGAAGAAAGGATGGCAGCTCAGCAGCCCTAACTGCCTCTGAAGCAGTGTCTGTTAACTGTTTGCGGGAATTTACATCTAAGGAACTCTTTTGAATGGGTAAGTCCTCAGTTTCCTTTGCACCTTCATCAGAAGGAATTTTTTCCAATATGTTTGGGGAATTTGCACTTAAATAAGCCTTTTTAGGAGGTAGGTCCTCAGGCTCCTTTGTGGTAGATAGATTTTCATTACTATCATCTTCATCAGTGGCATTATCATGGGTTGAAGCAATATTCAGACTTGAAAAAGTGATGTCCTCCTCTTCGTTGGAAAATTCGCCTTGTGGGTCTACTATACTATTCTTAATAGTTGAAACTAGTTTCCTTCTTTCTGCAATCTACAATGCCAAAAGAAGATCGGTGAGATCACTTTCAAAACCAAAAAGAAAATAGATACATTCAGGAAATTATAGTGCCTGAGACTATCAAATTTAGATAACCCAATACAACATGAGAACAACAATTGCCAAAACGAGATTATGCTGTTAAATGAGGGATTATCCTGCTTCAGCTAATCAAAATTAGCTAATGCAATAAAATGAGAAATAAGTCGACACTTTGAACAATTGATGATATGAGAAGCAGTATAGTAGTTAAAAGTATTTATCAAACGAGATTAAAGAAGAAAATTACTTGCTGAAGTAGGTCATTTTGAATGGCTAGAACCTTCTTGCTCTTCTCTATTGTGGCCTGAAATGTATCCTCCGATTTATCACCATCTTCAACTTCTCCAGAGCCCTTTCCTTTTGCTCTCAGACGTTTAGTTCTCCATGAAATTGAAGACGACCTACCAATATCCTCACCCACAACTTTGAAACACCCAAATGCCGAATCAGTCAAAACGCCAGAATCAAGAAACTTTATCGGCCTATACGCGAATAAAGGAAAGTTTGGTCGACTATAATCTGCACAGTGAAGAACGGAACTCTCCATTGCAGTGTCGATTACAAAAGGAAGAGACCCCATAGACGCCATTAAGATGTTCAATTTTCTACCTAAGAGAACTCACTAAGATTTTCGAGAAACTGAGATGAGTTAGTGGAAACTGAAGCAAACCCAGTAGAGGAAAATGAGATAAAGAGACCAAATTGATGGTTTTGAAATTGGGGGCAGCAAGAGGAGATACATGTTAGGGGTGATAAGTGGTGGAATGGATTTTGAAATGGACATGCAGAGGAAATCATGGACAAGAGATCAAGTCTGTCTCTTTTTAAGAGGTTCGTTGGAAATGTGCAAATGTGCCACACTGAAAGAAAATCATTGGGATGATTTGTGAGGCTCAGATTTGGCTGAGAATTGCAAACCAGGAATTAGAAATCTGGTTCATATTAACCTGCCAAAAAAATCACAGCCTTTCTAGTCTTTACACTGTACATGAAAAGGCTCATTCTTTTTTTGCTTTTATTTATTATATTTTTACTTTTGAAGGACATCCTGATTAATTTACGTTACTAATTTTTTTTTTATTCAATTAAATACAAGTGATATTTACGGATTATGCCAATATCTTTAGGGGTATTTATTGATTTTCACTCGCATGTTTAAAAGATACGGGTAATTTTTAAGTAAACTTATGAAACATTGCATTCACGTATATTAAAAATGACAACTTCATGAGAAATTTGAAATTATATGCGTGAAAAAATATATTTAGAGATATCGTTGAACTTATTGGGAAGTGTATTTTTAAATCTAAAAATATCAATTGGATTTTTTTTGTAGCATGGTAGATCTCACAATAATATACACGACTTGTAAACCTAATACAAAATCGAAATGAAATAGTCCATTTGGATTATTGTTTAGTCATGACGGGTTTAGGGTTACAAACAGATTAATTTGTTATACTTGTCAAGTAAATGGGTTGATACGAATTTAATTAAACGCAACTTATATATGATACATATCTAATTTTATAAAGTTATAAATAAGTCAATCATAACTAAGCCCTTGCCTATTCGGGCCTCTGCCACTGTCCTAGTGTCCGTCACCTCTATCGTTATTAACTAAGCCCATTAGCCCAACATGTTGTGTTTATTAGTCTCCATGGGCTTAGGAAAAAGTGAAAGGCCCAAGAAAAGTCAAGGCCGACGGACACGACGGTTGCCAATCTGGTACTTGGCCGCAATAACTACCTCCTTCTGTTCAAATTTGAATCACCAACGAATCCTATATAAATCACACCCTCACAATGATGAATCAAATTTCAAAA